TTAAACGTTTGGCATATATCTGTCTTGAAAATTTATAATATATATTTATATTTATAGATATATTAAAAATAATTAAGACTAAAATGCCATGAAAAAAATATATATTTTTAAGGCTGAGCTTTGTTTCATATTAATTTATATAACCGTTAAAATTCAATAATAAAATATAAAAAATTAGTATATTAAATCTTTTGAATTGGAAATTGTTACGGAAAGTAAACTACGCTTGAAGAATTAATATTTACGCATCTCAATCTGCTGTTAAGCTAAAATAACAGTTTTAACCTCCACTTATTAACATATAATATATATTAACATAAACTCCACTGTTAGCATTCTTCGCAGTGGCAGCAAGCACTTACGGCTTATTCCTATAATAACATAGCAAATACATAATTATTTTAAATACCACTGTTAACATGCTGTTAAAGCAAAACGAAGTTCTCTCACAACTCTTTAGCATAGAGTGAGTATTTGTAACATATTACAATATATAAATTACAGAATATGTTAAGTAATGTGAGGCTCTAAAAGCATTGCATAACTTTTTAATGCACAAATGCTGCAAAGCCTTTAAACTCCACACCAATCTCCATCAAACTCTGACTCAACACTTACGAAGCTGATAAAAAAGCACGCAGAACTGGCATTATAAAGTTATTTCGCTCAAAAAGTCATACAAAGCAGGCCAAAAGTTTACGAAGCCGTAGTCGCATTAACAAAGAGGCAAGAGCATTCAAGCTTCGGTTATTCTGTTTGCTAATCGCTGCGCTCAAGTACGCACCACTAGATAATAATAATGGCACAAAAGGGGGACACCAAGTGCCACCAACGGCTCTCAGCCGTGACTGTTAATAAGGCTCGAATATCCAGCTGCTGTGGCGTCAATAAAAATTTGCCGCAGACTGTCCTGTGTATGTCCCTTCCGCTTGCTCCCCCTCTCTCTCTCTTTCTATCTCGACTGGCTTATTATTTCACTGTCTCGCTTGCTCCTGCACTTTCTCTGATGTCTGCCTCTCTCTCCCCCTCGCTGTGACTCGTTTGTGTTTGGGTTTTCGGTTGCCTTTTGCCAACTCATTTGATTTGCCTTCGTTTATATTGATATGTGCCTGCCTCCCACTCTCCCTCTCTCTCTCTCTCTCTCTTTCTCGCTCCCTCTGTTCGTTGCGTGTATTTTTATGGCATACTTTTCGGCGCGTTCGTGTGTAAATATGTGCAAATTCGCCAAATTCGTTACATATTTTGTTGTGGCACATCATTCCGGGCAGCATTGGGTGTGATTGTTTAGTGGATTTATGGGCACATGAAATTAGGATTTAATGTGCATATGTCTTGTGCGTTGAGTGGATTTATTGCACATCCTCATGCACAATCCCCCGACCAGCCCCCATCCCCTCCCCCGCTGTACTTAACATAATGCTTATGATATATGCGAATAAAGCAAATCGTTTTTAAGCTAACCCAAGGGTGTGCCTATTTGTTGTGGTTCTCTCTGTTCATCCTATGAGTAAATTCAGATTGTGTGTAGGTGAAAGTGTGTAAGTATGTGTGTGTGTGTGGGTGTGTGTTGTGAAGTGGCTTAACTGCTAAGTCCTTGGCAAGTAAACAGCAAGGCATTTGGTTAAGCTTTGTTAGGCCTGGCCTTATTTTTTTGGCATATTGGTAATTGTAATCTTGTCTGTCACGAGTGCACATTATATCGATAAATACGCGTTGGGATTAAGGTAATATCCCTTTCAAAACAATATGCCGCCTTTAAATATGTAATAAAAGTTATTTGTGAACAAATTGTTTTCAATTTGGAGATCAATGAATAGCAAAGATATTTATTGAAGAATGAATAAATGAATGATAAATGATAAAGTGGAGCCTACTAAAAATGTATATATAAATAAATTAAATTTCTTTTATAATTATTATATAAATATATAATGAATAGCAAAGATATTTATTGGTTAACAGAAGAATGAATAAATGAATGATAAATGATAAAGTTGAGCCTACTAAAAATTTATATATAAATAAATTAAATTTCTTTTATAATTATTATATAAATATATATATTAAGTCTTCTTCTGGCTCTCAACTAATTAAATAAATTGACAGCATTTCTAAGTAGTTAATTAATAAGTACTTACAAATTAATATAGGTTTACTATTTAAGTCCATAGAATATATATTTATGACTTAATTTCGCTACTCATTGAGAATAAAATATTCCTTTTACTAATTTTAAAAAGAATTCAAAATTATTTTGTATTAAGATAATTAATGCAAAAACATTTGAAATTCATAATTTTTAAATTAATTTGGAATATTCAAAAATTTTAATTTAATTTAATATTTTTAATATTATTTGGTTAAATTGATTAAGTAGCAATTTTTATTAATTATTTAAAATATATTAATTACTTTATATTACAGCTTCGTTAAACTTGCTTACCATCAATTTAATAAATGGATCTTAATAAAAAATAGATAAATAAATAATTAATAATAAGAAATAATAAATAAGTAGTTGAATACAAATTTTTAAATAATAATAATTTAAGCTATAGTATAAATAACTTTAACTACCACAAATGAGTCTATATATAAAAAAATGCAGAAGACTGCCAAGACTGTAAAAATACATAAATAAATTAATATATAAAAGTATAAATATACATGACTTAATTCTAAAACTTCCACTGAGTTCCAAGTTTTAATCTGCTTTGTATAGAAAACATCAATTCCATTTAGCCTTGTCTTAGTCTCACTTGCTAATGTTAAATTATATTTGATTAAAGTTGCCTTGTTTCGTATGCATTTGTTTGCTCGTATCACATCAGCTCAAATTATTATTATTTACTTTTCTTTTTCGTTTGTTATAAAACACAATTATGCAACCACTTTGGCTTATCGCTGAGTGGTTTTTAGGCCGCATTCTCAAGACATTCATAAGCCAACTAGGCGCATTTGCGCGCTCTCACTCTCTTTTAACTTTAAGCTCACTTTATTAAGTCAACTCGACTCGACTTGACTTGACTTGAGTCGACTCGCCTTGGCTCGGCATTTCAACTTAATAAGCACAACAACAGCAACAAGAACAGCCGGCAAATGGCGCTATTTAAATGCTAAACAACTCTATTAAGTTGCACGACACACACATACCAACACACACACACACACACAACTCTATATATATAACTGTACCTCACATACATTTTCAAGCCAAGGACAGATTTAGCTTCAGCATTTTTTATCGCTGCGTCGAAGCTTAGAGCTGGGGCTGAGGCTGCGTCGGCGGTGGGGCTGTGCGGGTGGTTAGGCAGAAATGGAACCTCAGCACGTTTCAAATACAATTTACAATAAATAAAATTTAAAAGCGAGAAAAATGCTGCGACAACAGCAACAGCAGCAGTAGCAGCAGCTCAGCAACTGAAGACAGACACCGAATCGCGACGGACTTAATGTCGCCTAACGTAGAATGGAAAGTGAAGGGCCAGAAATGGGAAGTGAGCACGTGATGCTTGGCATAAGTAACACGAAACACGCAGAAACACGCAACAAACAGATGAGCTGGAACAGACCGAAGAGTGTATGCTCTAACGAGAGAATTGGAGAAGCAAAGTTAATTTTAGAAAAAGAAAAAAGTTAACTAAGGAAATAATTGTTGACGATATTTGCAGATAAAAAATAATTAATAATGGGAGTTCTCTAATACAGGCTAGACTATGAAAGGGCTTTAGAGGATTTTAAAGTATTTTTAAAATTAAATAAATATAATTAATATTTAGTAAAATTCAAGTATATCTTAAAATATGTTTATAGCAAGATGTGGATTATAAAATTTTTTCATATAAAAGTTATATTTTTGGGTATGTTTTTAGCAGAGAGTAGCTTATAAATTCTACTATCTAAATTAAGTACAATATAAGAAATAATAAAGAAATTGTATTTGATTTTATTTATTTTTTATGACTTTTTCACTGATTCCGAATGTTTTGGTAGCATAAAAATAGTATTTGTTAATAAAGGTATTATATTAAGTAATTTAGTAAATTTCTGGTGTATCTAGTATTAAATATTATGTATAATTTAATTGAATATTATTTCAAATTTTTAAAAGTTTCAGAAGATAAATCACTTTAGGAAATCTTATAAGTTTCAATTCATCTAACTAAATACTGTATTATACTATAATTTAGTAAAGTAATAAAAAATTATAAAATATTTAATGTAAATAATGATAATAAGATATATATATATATATATATATATATATATATATATATATATATATATATATATATATATATATATATATATATATATATATATATATATATATATGTATATATTTATATATATAAATAGTTTTATATATTTTTTTCTTTTTTGGAAATAAAACTTTTGATGGAAAATGATTTCTATGCAGGCGACATCTTTCCTTTTTTATAGCTCTCTTACTACATGAGAGAGATTCATATAATATAAATATTAAAATATATATTTAGATAAATATATAAATATAAATATATATATATATATAATAGATAGATAATAGATAGATCAGATATGCTTTTAGTTCACAAGCTACAATACTTTAAAGAACTTTTGCTGAAATTAGTAAACTCTAAAATATGTTCTCATATTAATATTTGATCATATATTTAAAACTAAAATAATACTTTAATTATTTATTATAATTTTCGATATATCGAAATATATATAAATTATTATATAATCCTTTAAAAACTGTTAGTTTCTAAACTAAATTAGTATTATTATAAGTAAATTAAATATCTTATCGAATTTTATTAATTACATAAAATAATTGAAAGCCTGCAAAGCTGTTCGCTAACTGTAAACACAAAAAGTACTCTAACTGCTGCAAATACTCGAATAAATATATCCTACCTTGCTATGCACATAGGGAAATTGAAATAACGGCAATTGAATGGGGAGTGGTTTGGGGATGACTTCAAGAGCAATGTGTATAGGGGAAATTATCTTACCTTTCTCTGGTATCACGTTGACGACGGTGTCTTCGCGTATATCTTCCAGCAGCTCCTCATGATTTTGCATTTCCGCTTTAAGATTCGAAATGAGAAAGAAAGAAAGAGAGAGAGAGTGAGTGAGAGAGAGAGATAGAGAATGAGAGAGGGAGAGTGAGTAAGCGAGTGAGGGTTAAAGAGTTACATTTTACAGTTATTACGTAGTTAATTTGAGCTCGGTTTGCTCTGGCGGAAATTCAATTTGTGGTTTAAGCATTGAGCACTTGCCATCAATATGCGCAGATAAACAGGTTGCACAGCAACCGCCAAAAAAAGCACCACATAAACACATGCACACACACACACAAACACAGCAGGGGGCGTGGCCGGACTTAACTCTGTTCGCTTCGTGCATTTTTCCAATATTTTAGCGCATTTTGTTCGGCGCCTTCTTTACGAGCTGCTTGTAATTTTCGCCAACCGCAAAATGCACAATTTGACTTTTGTGCAGCTGCTGCCAGTGCTGCAGCCGCAAGGGAGGCAGAGGTGCGTGGCGCACCCAGACAGGTGCAACGCGCCTCATCAAATATTTAGTAAATGCTGCCAAATGGCGAAATGTGCAAATGGATCTACGCTGATGCGTTGCCAGTTCAGAAATGCGATTTGGATGTGGCGTTATATGATTACAGTTTTTATTAGCTCTAATAGCGTTAGTCTAACGGCACATTGAGCAGAGCTAATTGCTTCCATAACTAACGAGAGTCGAGAGTTACCTGGGTACACAACGCGATTCTGTTGGTCAAATGTATTAAGCGGCAATTGGCTAAATTGATAATTGAAAACAAATTTGATGACAAGGTGTACATGACTAGCAGATACCCTGTACTTGAGCATTTGAGCTCACGCTTAGTACTTATGCACGAATATTTGATTGATATTCGATAAATAGCTTAAAGTGATCATAAAAGAGGAAAGCACGACTACAGGATACCCTGTAGCTGTTGAAAAGAGTTTTCCATTTGTATTTAAATAGTCATGCTTAACTAATGATTGACAAATTAATAACAATAACTGCTAATGACATAATAGTTATCATATACATGACTAGCAGATACCCTGTAGCAGATACCCTTAGCAGCTATGCACAAGCAATGTATTGCTTAAGTAATGATTGCTAAATAATTAAATACAAATACGTGCCAATTAATAATATATGGCGAATGAATGACTTGTAGATACCCTGTACTTGAATGAGTCGACAAACTATTTGCTTAGCATTTTTATAGCTTATATATATATAGTTATTTTTATTATTGATTGATTAATATTTGCAAAAATAAATATAAGAAAAGGAGTATACGACTTGTGTATACCCTACACATGAGTAGTATCGGCTTATTGCCTGGCAATCATATTGTTGTACAAGTGGCTCAGATGCAAGATACCCTATATTCGCATAACTGAATTCTCGAGCTGTTGCTTCAGATTTCTGTGTTAAATCATATAAAAACTACATTCAAGCTGATAGTAAATGAAAAGTTTTTGACCAGCTGACTAAAGATAGCCTAAATACTGCATGAGCTAACAAAAAAATTGAATTGAGTTTGCATAATTCAGAACAAAAATCTTATAAGTGAAGCAAGTGAGACTCGCATTTACCCTGTTCCCAGCATCCCCTAAATAACTATCTACCCACAGCTGGCTAGTCATATTTAAAGCACTTTGATGTACATATACATATCATATCATAGACGAATAGCCTTCATCTTTAACCTTATCTTTATCTAAATGAATTAATAGAAACCTATAAAGATGCTTTAAGTATACATAATACGAATGCACAAGATCAATACGATTCTAATTTTAGAGGCTTCGCAAGTTGAAGAGGATTTTAATTTGAAAAGTAGATTGTGCTCTCCAAAAAGTTGTATTTAACAACTTTTCTATCACTTTCATTCAGAGACCATACAGAGTATATCCGTTCCAACTCGCTCTCTCACGCTCACTCCCCAATCGAGCTCAGCATTGTGTGAGATGTCTATTCAGCATGTGAATTGCCGACCCGTTAGCTCTGGCAACTAGTGTGTGTGGATCTGTATATTTATTTGATGAGCTGCTGCCCCATTTTCACGGTCACGTCGACTGTGCTCGGCTGCTAAATCACGTCATGCCAAGCAGAGCGCAGAATGTGCAGTTGGAAAAGCGTTAAAATAAGAACTTTTTGAGGAAAACTTGCGGGCAGAGCTGTCGCTGCGCGAGGTGGCACGTCGCAGTCACTTGCAACATATCAGCCGCACATACACATCTATGTGGGGCAACTATGCAATACAAAATATTACAAACAGGCTGAGCTGAGTCGACAGCAAGGCTGTTGCCTAACTTGAGCAGCAGCTAGAGAAGAATTTTGTTGCTGCTGTTGCATTTGATGTTTGGCAGAACGAATCCGATGGCCTGAGCCCAACCCTCACCCTTAACTGGAATCGAATTTATTGCATACTTCTGTGCGTTGTGGCAAGAGCCACAAAATGTATTTGCCTTTGCCAGCCAGCTGTGACATGTTGCACCAGCTTCGTTGCAGTTGTTCCTTACCACAAGAACAACAACAACAACAACAACTCGAACAACCAGCGCAGTTAGCATGTGTTTGGCGTATATTAAAACGCCGAATTGCTGAGCATGAAAATTAATTGAAAATTTGCTTCATTTCCCTGACTTTTCCTTCACATTGCGCATTTCGTATTTCGCTCTATATTTGTCATCAATTTTTTACGACAATTTCTCTTTTCAAGCAAATTCCAATTCATTTGCTCTATTGACAGTGCGTCTGCACGCATTGGTTAGAGTCCAAGGCCTTTGCGCTTATAAATAACTTAATTTTTTTTTATTTATTTTATTTTCTTTCATTTTTTTTTTTTTGCTGTCATCGTGCCGAAAAACTAGGCGAAATATATGCCAAGGTGGCCAAGTAAATGCCGCTAAAAATCAATAGCAATCGCTTCGAATAGACGAGGCATGAGCGAGAGGCCGATAGCGAGAGGGACAGAGAGAGTGGGGGATTGGCATGTAAATGTAACAAAGTAAACTTTGCCTGGCAGTTTTTGTGCCTTTCAAAAGTCGAATTACCTTAAGGATATTTGACTAAAAGACACTGTATATATAGGAGTTTTTCTCAGACTGTAAAGCAATATACTAAAGAGCATTAAATTTATGTGTATGTATTTAGCTGAAATTTGCTATCTACTAAAATAGTTCAGTTGGAAACATGAGGAAGCTGGAAGTGGTCCTGATGGAAGCATTCTCGAGTATAAACATTCAAAATATTCCCAAATCAGGCATGCTTTAAAATTATTAATTTGAAATAATTAATTAAATTATAAATTAATCTTCATCCGAATTTTAAATCTTACAAAGCGGACATTGCAGCAAACCAATATGCTCTTTTCTCTTTGAGCAGAAGTATAAAAATATTCGAATTCAGTTATTTACAGTCATTCGTTTAATACATTAACATTTTCACTCAAATTCCATATTTGTATTTTTTAAACTCTTTATACTCCATTCTCTTTTCTTTCGATTCACACTCAATTGACTAACAACAGCTATGACGTGAGCACTTGCCTATGCTGAATTGAGTGAAAACAAGAAATGAGATCAGAGCAAAGAGAGCGAGTGTGAGTGTGGAGGCAAGCAAGGCATGTATATCCTGATGTTGGGAGTGAGAGTGTGAGTGGTTTTGCGATAGGCGCCATTTGCACTCATTCTCTCTCTGCAGAGCAAGTAAGTGTGGATAATGTTTATCCACATATTGCATATTGTTGATGTTGGTAGTGTGAATAGGAGTGATTTATCGACAGTTGTACTCATTGCCTCTTGATCTCATGTTAAATGTGTATGTTTGAGCTGCGAGTAAGTAGAGTTGGCATAAAATCGTTATCCACAAAGTGAGCGTGTTATCGACTATACATACACACGTATTTTAAATATTGTAAGAAGAAGAGCAAAGAGAAACGAATTGCGCTTTTTGGTACCAAAAGATCCTCTTTTCGTTCTCTTTATCAGTTGTCTAATCTCAGTGATTGACATCAAATTCTTATTGTGCACAAAGTAATGTAAAGAGAAGAGCAAAGAGAAAAAGGTATGCCGTTCATAATTAAAAGCAAATGCTTTTAGGTTACAAGTTCAGTAACAATATGCCCCTGACTGTGAGTGTGAGTGTTCGAGGAGCACGTGTCCTGGCCAATGCTCATCTGTCATTTCCTTGTCATTACACCCACAAGAGCTTATGAACATATTTCAAATTGAGCTATTTCTGTTTACCACTTGATTGCACTCACCTTTTGGGGACAGGCTCAGTGGGCCAAACCTCAAAACTTCATTAGCCAAAAAGCACGCACCGAATTTGTGGCAACAACAAAAAATCTTTGAAACGCTGGGCGCAATAAATTGCTCGGCGGCAAAAATAAATGTAAAGTAAATGGCGCTAATTCAAAGTAGATTTATTTATTATGCTATTTTTCTTGCGGCACTGCGCCAAGAAATATGCTTTAAATTTCCATCACAGCCCATTGAATGTGGCCGAAAAACTTTAAAGCACACAGAGAGAGAGAGAGACAGAAATAGAGCGAGGGTGGGAGAGGGAGCGAGTGTGAGTGAAACATAAATGAATATATACGACGGTGGGCAGATATTGTGCAACAAAAACAATAAAAAATTCCTGGGAATAACTGTGGGGCAGCTGTGAACTGTGAATTTCCTTCATCTTCTTCTATTTTTTCTGCTTCACTCTCTTCTCATCTTTTTCGGCTAAGTACACGAGCATATTAATTTACGCACATCCTGTGGTGCCAGCTTTGAGAAGCGACGCACCTGCTGCGACAGACATCTGCAGATCTCAGTCCACAGCCGCCCGTTCGCGCAGCGGCTCTGGCTTAAGGCAGCCCCAGTCTGGACTGTTGATTTTGGCCATAATGCTAACGCATTTAAGCCAATTTTCGTGTCAAGTCCCAATGATTTATTAGCCAGACGCGTAGACAGACAGTGCTTAACGTGCCGGATATAGAGGCGAGCCCTAACGTCGCACGGTGTCAACAATTGCC